GTGGATAATGGAAATATTGTTCTCCCTGCGGGTGGGAAGTGGAGGGACAGAGAAATGAGACACACAGGAGAGACATCTTTGAGACAGCACATTTCCAAGTACTGTGCTATCGGCCTTAAAGGCGTAACTATCCTTCATATCAGGCTCTTGCACACTTTTATGGGTAAGCATATTCCTACCAGGAATTATTCTCTACTTTAAACCAAATCCTGAGCGCAGAGAAGCTCTAGCATGGGTAAGACAGTTGCCATTGCTGTGTGCATCAGTGGAGATGCACACCAGTGGAGATTTCCCCTCCTGAAAACAAAGCCAAAGTCTTCTAGTGTGATTTGTGTAACTGTGTAATGGAAGGGGAAATTTTGTATTGCCTGCTGCAGGATCAACAACTGTTCTGTGGCAACGATAACTATTCCAACCAAACAGAAAAGACCCCTTTTTAATTCACTTTAGCCCAAACAAGAAAATCAATACAAAGAGGACACAAATCACTATATTTATAATGATATTCATCATTATATTTATAATGATCAAGACATATTTATACAGCAGAGGAATTTCATATTGGGCAGCACTGTTCCAAGTTTGCCACAGTGCAGCCATAAATCTATCCCATAGGGAAATAACTACTTGAGAGACTTGACCCTAAATTACCTAACCAAGCAAATGATTCTACTTTCTGACTGACCTTGCTGGCAGGACACACTTTGCTGTCCAGCAGCCGAGCTAAACATTATGTACATCTGGGATGACATTTATCTCAAGGAAACTTGCCAGACATACTCACAGATATAAATACTGAAACCTTTTACTTATTATTTAAAGAATACAAAGTTATTTTATTATACAAATAGATGAACTGGAGGGAATTCAAAGCAGAGGAACCTTTTCTTCTTCAAAGAATCTTTTTCAGAGATGGAAGGGAGAGAGAAGCATGCATGGTTTGTCTGAGTAAGGTTTGTCCTCTCATTCCTCCTCTGCACCATCTGTGCATCCACAGACTGTGCAGGCTGTGAGAATGCAGGAGAATGAGCAGAAAGTTGCCTCATTGTTATCCTGCAGTATCCACCACAAGGAATCTCCTGGCTTTGACATAGTTGCTACACCCAGGGTCACTTTTACACCCACTTGAAGCTTACACTACTACTGAGACAGTGCACTGGAAACTGGTGTACTGTAAAAACAACTTCTGTGCTGGTTACATTATGTGGGGGCTATTGCTGAGCTCTGTAAGCATCCAACTTGTCACAAAAGAAATGTAAAGCTCTCCATCTACAATCCACCCTCCCACCTGCACTGTGTCAAATCTCAGGAGAGAAAAATAATGGTTTCCAAACTGTTGAAAGAGAAAAATTCAAAGCTGAAAAGAAATTTCTAAGAAAGAAAAGGAACCATTAGAAGTTGCAAAAGTAGCAGGAGAATATTTTAAAGAGGAATTATTAGGCTAGGCAAAACTTCCCAGAAGTGAGATACAGGGAAAATATCTGGCAGAAGGACCTCAGTCTTTATTAAATTTATTAATATTTATTTATTAAATTCAGAAATTTAAAGCCAAACCAGTGAAAGCCCTCAACAGAGCAGCTTCTCAAAGAGCTGGGATACTCCCCATTGCTCCTAGGAGAGGGGAGTAAAACTTCTGTCTCACGTTCTTTAATCTGCCAGTTGCTTCCTTCAGCAAAGGAGTCAGTTTCTCTCCTTAAATACTCCAGGTACTACCTAATGAATTTCTTCCAGCAGAGGAGTAGCTGACTGGAATATATCGATCCTGTCTTGCTTCTTGGCTGGGCAAACTGGCTACTGGGAAATGCTGCTCTTCAGTGTCTTTCCTTAAAAGTATGGGCACTACTTCTGATTTCTTCAGGGCTTCTCAGGCATGGAAGTGATCAGGTCCAGGGACCAACAGCCACAAACACAGCTAAAGTGCTTAGAACCTGGAACATTTTTCCCCAGAGCTCTTCCTGACCTGTAACTGCTTGAGCTGGAAGGCCTAGCTGGTAGCTGGAGTAGGGAGAAGGGCTTTTATAGCTTTTATATTCTCTGGAGGCTGAGTGTTTTTTCTATTGTCTAAATAGCACTGTTACCACACCCTGTAAAGATTTCTGTATGAAGGGTGCAGAATATCGAGGTATAATGGGTTATGATTATTTTATGTAACTACATCAGAAAATAGTTTACTAGTGTGTATTGGATTGTGTATGAATATTTTAATCAAAATCAGTTTTATTTTCTAATACAGGTTACTGATGAGTCATACATTATTTTTCAGGGCCTAAAAGATGACTGGGAAAGGTATAACTGCTGCAAAATCCCCTTAAATTTACTGCACTGTGGTCTGATTTCTCATTAGAAAACCCTTATGAGTGTCCATTCTGAAAAAGAAATTGTGAAAATAAAATGAGAGAATCAGAAATCAACTAACCCACTTAGTAAATGGGCTCTGTTTAAAAAGAACAGGATGGAAAAAGTAATAGCTGAATAGAAAAAAAAACAGTGACCTAGAACCTAGCATGCCTCTGATGGGAGAAGATACTACCTCAGCTGACTTCACCCCCATAAAAATGCTGGAGTTTTTTGCCAGATCTGGGAGCTAACACATCACAAGATATAAAGACTTAAGTGACCTACACTTAGAAGCAGAAGGGATGAAGGAGGGGAGAAAGCTTTAAACAAGATTTGCAGATTTCTCCCCTTTGAGGCACAGAGAATTAAACACTTGATGATTTAGCGACCAGGACTAACCTGGTGACTAACCTAAATTTTGGTGAGACCCAAAGGCAAAACTGCTCAAGCAATGGCTCCAGCCCAGCTGCAAGGCAAACCAATTTTGATTAGGCTTCCAAAACACCATACAAATAAACTAATATAGGGCGTGTAGCTTCAATTGGGAACTAGGAGAGCTCCCTCCTCTTCATTCCCACACAGACATCCAGGGTGGGAGGTGATCTCATCAGATACTGTGTAACTCTGCCCATAGGCTTCAAGGCAGGAACTGTAGGTGATCTCGTTCTAAGATGTTCTGTAGCACTTTACAGTCTTAGGGTCCATTCTGAGGCTTTAAGAAAATTTGCAATGCTCTTGCTACTATCATCTGCCTTGTTGTGGCTGACCTGCTGAGGTAGTCAGCAGGAGGGGAAGCACCTCTTGGCCTTGTGTGACAGTAGAGGTCCATGATGCAGTTCTGGTTTACATGGATGGTTAAAGAACCTGATGACAAGACTCAGAGGATACTCAGTGGGGCCACAGGAGGTCAGAAGTGTGTGTAGCAGCCTACAAGCGGAAAACAAGACTGTGGGAGAACAGCTTCCCTGGGAATATCCAATACCTAAATTCTCTTCTTAATTTGACTCACAGATAGATAAAGACAGCTCAAAACACCTCTGAGCTCTTGTTGCATTATGGTATTGAAATTTGGCCCTGGAGTACAAAGCAGTTAGAATGTATTTCTACTCCCATTCCTGACAAATCTAGTGCTGTGATTTGGTGGAGACCGTAATACCTTGTATTGGATTTGCTTCTTAATATTGCATACTCACTTTTTTATACACAATCTAGAACACAGAAATAATTGGTATCAGCAATACTGGAATGTTACATACTACTAAGATAGAAAACAAAACAAAAGGAGAAATAGAAAGTGTCCTTCTGCTGTAACTTTTGTAGTCAATTGCTGCCATTCCTCTGTGTTGTACATGAGTGCTGTTTCACCCTTGCTGGCTTTCCTGGAAACCTAATACTGTCCTTAGCTTCACAGCTGAGCAAAGTTTTGGTGCCTCCTCTGTACATGATATCAGAACTGATGCTTAATGGAGCAGTGCATTAATCAGAGAAAAGGTATCAAAATGAGACAGCATCAGTTCAAGTTAAAATTCACAGTTTCAAGCAAGACAATATGGAGACAGAAAGTTGAAAAAGGGAGCTCTACCATGCCCTGTCTCCCCTGAGAGAAGGGATGTCTGCTCTGGTCTAGACACCCCACACTGCAGCAGTGTCAGCACTCCTTTGGTGTAACCAGGGAGCCAAGTCCGTTGGCATCAACAAGCCAGTGATTTTGGGCTTCTGCAACATTGGAGGGGATTGCTCTCGATAGAGTAGGGTGAAAATGAGGGCAGAGTCGAGCACAATACATTTGCCTTGGCTGGAAGCAGAAACCAGACCTTCAGCATTTCATTCAAGCTGCACAGAAAAATCCTTCTGTGCAGCCTATTGCAAAGGCACGACACTCTCTGCAGAAATGAGACTGGGCATGCCTGCCAGGAGCCTTGAGGTGGATACTCTCTCCCATTTACCAAGGCACTGCATCATCTTCCAGGCTGACCCGGGCTGCCGCCAGTATTTACAGAGACACGGAGATGCGTCAAAGCCCCCTGGCAGAGGCAGCGGAGCGCGCCGGCTGCCGCCGGGAGCTGTAGCGTGTCCCCAAGGAGCCGGGGACAGGCGGGCACGGACACACACACGGACACACACACGGGCACACACGGACACACACACGGGCACACACGGACACACGGACACACACACACGGACACGGACACGCACGGTGCGTGCGCACAGCCCAACGAGGTAAGTCCAGCCCCCAGCAGCGGGGCCATACTTCTGCTGCTGGATTTTTCCAGCCGGAGCATCCTGCCGGCGCTGCCGTGATTTATGGAAAGCGGTTTCTGACGCGGGGCTTTTTCTATTACGACAGGGACCCACGGACTGGTGGAGGCAAAGCTGCAGTCAGGGCAGGAGAAGTGAGGGAGAGGAAGAGGCGGGAGCAGAGGGACACGGAGGAGTGGAGAGGACAGAGAGAGAAACAGGCACCGAGACACTTCAGAGATGGGTGAGTTATAACTAAGAGAGCAGGAGGAAAGACAGAGAAAGGAAGAGAAGGAGAGCCCTGGGCAAGGGAAAGGGAAAGGAGACCAGAGACTGAGTCAGCTTCCAGAGGGCAAACACCAGGAGACGAGCTCAGGGAACATCTCAGCATACCAAGAAGGACCTGCTCTGTCTGAATCTTCACCATGAGCACAAGGAAGAGCTGCCCCCTGCCACTGGGGCAAGAAGACCAGGAGGAAAAGCAGAGTGAGAGTACTCCTGACCTGGAGCGACAGGAGTGTGAGATGGAGCTGAGGAACAAAGCTATTCTGCAACAGAAGAGGCGCCTCAAACAGGCCACCCAGTTTGTGCACAAGGACTCTGCTGATCTGCTACCCCTGGATGGTTTGACAAGGCTTGGCACCTCCAAGGATCTGGTGAGTCCAGTGGGACCCCCCTTGGGAGGGAGTCCTCCTAATAGCTTTCATTCAGGTTGGGAGCTGCTATTAAGCTTTGTGAAAGGATCATAGGTTCAGCAAAAATGAAACTTCCCTTCAGGATCATCTAGGAGCAGGTCAGGGTGAGGGAATTAATCACTCATTTGCTTGCATCCATCTTCTTGTGCCTCCCCATAGGAACCAAATTCCTCAGGCAGACATGGACTGGAAGGACTCTCCAGAATCCAAATTTCCATTAACCCAGTACCTATATATGTTCATGTGACCTGTATATTTCCATGTAGGACATCTCTGAAAGCCCCCATGTATTCCAGCATGATCCAGCTCAAAAGCAGAATGCTTCCTGGACTCAGCAGGGAGGGAAGTACAATTCATGAAACTCTGAGAGATTTATGTTTGACCTTGTCACTTTTTGCATTTTTCTCTCTTCCCCCCACTCTCTGGATTTACTGAGGGGCAAGCAAAGGGCAGGACTGCAAACCAGGCACACAGGCAGATGCAGTGTCTGGCACTCTGGATGACTCCTTTGGGGAGGAGGCACCGGAGCGAGGCCTATGGGCATCTCCTTGTGGTGACGTGGATCAGGAAGCATCAGGGAGGGAGGTCTGTTCCAGGAGCCTTGGCAGTCTGTGGTCTGGAAGGGCTTCCCCGAGGCTGGAAACAGATTCCCACAGGATCTATTACTGGCTCAACTGCACACAAATTCTCCTTGCTCTGGCAGTTTTTCTGTCCAGCTTCTCTCCACTGTAGAGTTAAACCGCTCAAGGATGTGCAGCTTTAAACCCATTTCCCGAAAGAGGGCTCGTGTCTGGGTGTGATGGGGGCACAATCACTTGTTCCATCTGTGGCAGTGGGTGTCAGAAAAAATCTTGCCCCTCCCTGCAGTCTGTGCCTCCCCATCTCCTCAGACAATCGCAGCAACACCACAGATGCTCCCGTGTGTGTGCCTCCAGTCATTCCCCAGCTCCTGAGGCACGCAGTGGCACAGGGCCACACGTGTGAGGCTGGCAGGTCCCTGGCACTGAACAGGAGCCAATCCTCCTTGCTGGAACCTTGGGGTGCAGCGCTTGCAGACGAGGGCTCAGTGCCACGTTCCCGTGCTGGCACATCCTGCCGCTCCCGCCACCCTCCCCGCAGCCCCTCAGCTGCCTCAGCAGCTGCTGGGAGTCCCTGGCACGGCAGGGTCAAGGGCAGCTCCTCCAAAGCACCCTGAGCTGTCACCTCCCGTTCCGCAGCCGCACGCAGGGCTGTCAGCACGGACTGGTGTGCAGTGTCCCTCCGGCCTGCACACAGTCGTGGCTGGAGTGCGAGAGCGGTGTCACATCAGTCTGAGCGAGGAGCAGGGACTCTCCTCCCCGTGGGGAAGGAGCTCAGGCCACGCTGGAGTCAGGAGAACCAGCAGTGCTGGCCCTCGGGGCCTGCAGCGCTGCAGCTTGAACATCCCCTCAGGAGCGTGACCCTGGGCCTGTCCCTAGGCAGGGAAGGGAGACGAGCCACTTCTGAGTCTTTTAGTGCGTGTTTGCTGACCCCAGCCACAAAGGCAGGCAGAAACACATCTGCCAGCTTTGCTTTGGGATTGACTCCTGTCACACCATGCCTCAAAGCGACAACTGGCATCCTAAAGCCCCAAGGGGTTCCTTGAGCGAGACAGTCCTTGTCTAAATCACTTGCCACAAGCAGCTCTCCTGCTGGAATTAACCATTCCAGGCAGGAGAACTCGTTGTATGCCGACAGCATTTGGTCACTGCAACCCACTGCAAACTTCATGTTTGGTCCATAACATGAAACATTTTTACCATCGGCCTAGGGAGTAGTGAATAAAGCATGACATTTTTTTCTCACATGGACAATTTGCTCTGGTGTTAGAGGGCACCAGATAAAGCGTGGCCCCTGTGCCAATTTTGCACACATAGTGCCATACCTGGGGTCAGTGTGGTACCTCCGTTTCTGCTTTAACTTGGAGCAAAAGAAGAACCAGGTCTTAGATTTCCAAGAGAGATCCAGCAGTTCCTGCAACTTTATGGGACACTGTGGTATTGCTGCGATGTTTTGGGTGCTGCAAATCAGAGTCCAAAATACGCTTTTGGCTTATTTCTCTAGGTGCCTCTCCAGCACTATGAAAACCCCATCTCTTTTTCCTAAATTGATCTGGCTCCCTCCTGGAGGACCGGAATACAAAAAAGGAATGTACTGAAAATGAAGCAGCAGAAGGAACTGCTGGGGAGTTTGATTTGGAAAGAGAGTAAAACACCCCTGACTCCTATAGCACTTACACTGGGAGGAAAGTTTAATTAATTCTCCAAAACAGGTCTCCACTGACAGTGCCAGAGACTCCAGCTGTGGCAGCTCCATATCCTAAAATCAGAGAAAGGCCTCATGTAATTTAAAATAAAATACCTGCTTTCTTTTGCAGTCACAGGCTGTTACTTCTTGCCACTCTTTTCTGTGTATTCTGGGTGTGCACTCAGCTTATGCAATGCATCAAGCAGTGCCGGCGATTTGATGGGCCCATTATGTCTCCAATAATGAATAATTATATGTTGCCTTAGGGACCTCAGGTTTCCAGCTTTGCAACAAAAAGCATGACCAGTTTGGGTTTTTTTTTTTTAATGGCAAAATAAAAAATAAGTAGTTATATGAGCTAAAATATTCTGGAAGTACCAAGAAGGTCTGAAGATCTGGCTTCTCGCCTTCCAAAAATCAAAATCCCCAGCCCATACAATGTCACTAATCATAGCAAGACCTGGAGGTTTCACATTGGAGAACCTGAACCTTCCCTAAATTGCACTGGCAATCTTCTTTGATCCCTCTACATGCCCTGAGAGAGCATCCTTTCCAGCTCCTGGCCACAATACTCACAACATCCTCCCTTACCATCCTCTCAATCTAATTGTTTCTGACCAGTCCGAGACTACAACAGTCTCTCCACTTCAGTGTTTCACTGGTGAGAGAGAAGATAGGCAGGGCCATGGGAGTCTGCTCTTGAATCAGATGCCTCCAAAATCCCAAAGCTCAGCTAATCCCCACCAGCATTTGGCCTCCTCCCAGCCTGAGTGACAAGAAGGGGACAGAGGTGGAAGCTGCAAAGGGCTTGCTCCTTCTGTGGGAAAGGTTGCAGGAAGAGAGAAAGGTCCTTTGCATGCCAGATTTGTGAGAGGAGGGAGGGAGGATGGGAATCTGGAGACCTGCTGTTTGTTGCCTGCCCTTTTCCCATGGCCCAGATGTTCGCTGGCAGCCAAACTGGCACTGTGCTGAGAGTATTTAGGGAGCTAAGCACAACGGGCAGCTGTGCTGTGGCCGGCACAGTAGGCTGGGAAAAGACCAGGAACAGAGAGATATTTTTACCCCACTTTTTCAACTGCTGCAGTGTTTCTCATGCAGCATGTGAACAATCTGACTCTCACCCCCTGAGTGGCAGGGAAACACAGCCATGAGGGACTTGGCTTCTTGCAAAGAGCAATGCTGAGTGTGACCAATGAGCCAGTGACAGCCATCCTACACCAACCATTGGGCAAATCTGACAAGTCAGGGTGCTTCAAATTGCAGTTTGCACACTTCTCTGGCCTCTGCTCTCTGGCCATGCCTGAAGCTAGTCTGAAACACAGGGTTTTGTGGGGTTAATGCAGCCCAGCTCATTGGCAAGTGTGATCTAGTTCAGGTGTTTGGCCTGCCCATTGACAACATCCTGTATCAAACTGCTGCACCACCTGGGAGACGACTTAATTTTTTCTTTTTCTTTAGAAAGATAAAAACAACAGTTTAAGCTGTAGCACGTTAACCCCTTTAGATTGCTTGCCTTTCTTCAAGCAGGCAATTGTTACTGGGAACGCCATGGCCAGCTCAGAGCAGCTGCTCTCCTGCAGATGGGCCGTGGGGCTGAGTACATGGAGAAAGGACAAAGCTACCTCCAACAGGCACCTGTTTCATTGATGTTTCCCATTGTTGATTCAGTGGTTGTGCAGGGACTGGATGGATCAATACTAGGCAAAATGTAGAACATCTGATTGGGGGGAGCAGAGACAGGCTCCAAGGAAGATTAAAAGCTCGTTTTAATTTCCTCCTCAGGGTGCTTCCTGCTTCACTACAAATAATTGTTTGTACACCTAAAATATCTGCAGTCCTGCCTTCTTGCCCACATGTACATCACACACATGCTGCATTCCTTGTGCCCTTCCACATTAGAAGGTGTGAATGTGCCTGGTGGGATGTCAGCATACACCTAGCAGGCAGTGCATTGCCTGAACAGGAATGAGACTCTCCAGTGTATATTTAGCTAAAGGAACAGATACATGCATCAGGCATGTTCTTCTCCTCCAGTAATTGCATCCCAGAGACCTGCCTGTTGCAGACATCCCAACACTTTAACACCAAATTAGTGGCTACAGAAAAAAAATCTTGGGATTTAAAGAAAGTTTTTTTGGGTAAGCATGTCTTTCATCAGGACGATCAGTTCGGTCAAGCATTTTCAACCTGCATCCCTGAGCTAGCAAATGTCCTTGTCCTTAGCTCCATACTTAGCTGGGATTTCTCTTTCTTTGTGATGGAGACAGCAGCCTCATAGTGTGGTCCAGCGGCGCCTCTTGGAAGGCAACCTGAACAAACTGCGGGGCGAGGCAAGGGGTCAGTCTGCACGGGTTCAATCTCCGCTGGCAAAAGACCAGGATGAAAAGATGGAAAAGGGAGAGGACAGGAGAAAAGAGACTTCACTCCTGCTAATACAGTGCCAGGTAAGGCAACAACACTGCTGCTGATTTCATAGTGATGGCAAATGCTCAGAGTTCCACCTGCCCCCCTCCCAAGGGCCATGCCGACTTATAAATCACAAAGCCAGCTGCAGCCAAAGAGAAGATATTTCATGCATGGCCTCTCCTAGAGTTTGGATGCAGGCTTTCCAAAAGCCAGAGGAAAGTCTTTCTGCTACATACCTTCTAGTTACCCATATTTGAAGATAAATTACCTTCATCACATATCCTTCCTTTGAAGGCCAGCTTTCCATGATGTGAGGTATTTTATAACTGCATATAGAAGCAAGAAATGTCTCCTTATCACTTGAAGACAGGTGCCTCAAGCTGATTTACATTTAACTACTTCTAGTCTAGTCTGATTTTCTCAGGTGTCAAAGGACCTCCTCAGAAAGTGGCTAACCATGCTCCAAATTTGCACAGCTGCATGTCTTGATGGAAGCAGTATTTTCAGCTCCCTTTTCTTCTTATATCCTCCTATACAGCAGAACACACTACTCCCTGGCCCCTGCAGTTAGAGAAAGCACATGCAAAAGCTGTGGCTCATGAAAGAGGGCTGGATGGTTAGATCTGCACAGTAACATGCAGATATGAGACTCACCAAGATACAGACCTGTTGTACAAAATCCATTTTAAAGCTGGTTTTAATTCAGTTACCTGTCCTAAAGAACATCTCCCATATCCAAATGTAAAGGCTGTACTTCCAAGAAAAACATATATACCTTTGAAAATTCATTCGGCACAATGAATTATGATAGGAACACAGCCTGGTAGCAAGTTTCTGAAAGGCTTAGATCAGGTATCTCACTGCCAAGAAAAGCCACTCTGGTTTGTTTTGCAGCCTTTAGTGCAGCAGTTAGGTGTTGCTTACCCTGCATTTTAGACTTTAATATACCTGGGTTAACATAACCACACTTGGGGACAGATTCGTAGGATGAATGGCTCTCAGGGCAATTTCTTCAATTACTTGGAGCTTGTTTTTGAGCAAATAAAGGTGTTTCTTTTTCTTTAATAGCTTCTCCTTATTGTTCTGCAAGAGGAAATTTGGTGATAAAGGGTGGGGTTTTTGCCAGGCATGCACACTGAACAAGGACAGGCATGTACAGGTATTGTATCCCAGGGGCCGTAGCTAAGTCAGCGTTACAGTCCACCAGTCATTCCCTTTTGTGTTTCTAATGGACTGAACCCCAGCTGCCACCCACATTTCATTTTCCCTCACAGAAGAAGGTTAATGAGCATCACAAGCAAGGAAATAGGTCTAATGCTGCACGTAATGCTCCCTGTATTCTGCACAGGTGTTTCTCTCTTTTTCTGCCCCTCTTAGGAGCCAGTCACTGTTTGTCACACTTGATCTTACACTGAAGGAAGGGAAGCTCTCCTCCCCTTCTTTTTGTCTTGCTGCTTTTGATATTCACATCTGTGAACTTCAAAAAGCCTCTCCTGTCAGTAACAGAGCTGTGGCAAGAAATAGGACTCAGGCTTCCAGTTCATTTGAACCAGAGATGTGAGCTGGTACCTTTCAGATATCTGCTTGATTATAGTGCAATTTTTATTAGAAATGGAGCACAGCCCCAGAGAAGGTTTTTTTTTCCCCGACTCCTGAGAGAAGATAATCTATCGCTTACACATAGGCAAGTATGCTGAAAATCTCAAAGTGGTAACAAATGCATCAACTGACTTGTAAGTGAACTTGACTAGGGAATAAACCCAAATATATGTAGACTTCAGTGATACATGGAGATTCAGGCAGTAAGTGTTTTCACTCTAACAGGTTTTAGTTGCTTTATGTCTAAGGCCTTTTAAGTCCTAGAGATCACAGACAGACCTAGTCTATAATAGCTGTGCTGCAGTCACTCACCCTCCTATTTGCTTAGGTAAGTTGCCCAGATGGTACTTCAGCAGAATTGCCCCTTTTTGTGACAGTTTCTGAAAAGCACTTTGGAAAGCTAGTCACAACTGGTATCTGCAACATAAAATGTCTCTTGTTGACTTGGAAAGAGATGCTGAAAGATTTCACTGATGTAGAAGGCCAGTTTTCCTCTATGCCAAAGCAACCTGGGATTGATCAGCCTTTTGTTTGCTAAAGCAGCTTCTTGACTTCAGAAGTGACATAATTTCAGAAAACACAGCCCTTTATAAATAGTGAGCCTTACTGATTCCCCTTCCCTTCTTTTTTGGAAATTCCCATAATTGACATTTAGATAAAAAATAAACATGACTGGTAGTAACAGACTGAAAATTCTAGAGTAGAGATGAGAGTTGGTAAAGCGAGGAAAAGTCCTCCTGGTCCAAGAAGCCTTGCAGTACTTATGAGCTGCCTGCATTGTATTTGTGGTATGCTGGACCAAGGACTTTCCTCAGGCTCCTGGTGAATTCTCTAGGGAAATGGTTAGTGGTAAAGAGCTGTTTACACTGAATGAGATTTAGTGTTGTTTTCTACAGAATAATCACTGTCCTGTTATATCCTATCAAGCCTCTAACTTGCAGATTTCCCAGCCTGCTCTGAAACAAAACTCAGTAATCTGCCTAGTGATACAGCTTAGGCTTATTATAACAACAGCAGCTCATGCATCTCAAGTCTGCTGCTCCCAAGTGATTCCTTAGCAATTGCTATCCATGCTCCAGATCTTGCTTCTGAGTAGAGGATGTGGAGACAGATGTTTGGCATGCACCTGTACTCTGTGCTTTATCTTGCCTCTCTGCTTAGTCTGGCCACAGCCTATTCAGGCAGGGTTGATGTGTCAGGGAGGACCAGGCAGCACAGACATTGCAGAGCTCTAAAATCATAAGGGAGACATTTTGCCATAGAATCATGGAATGGTTTGGGCTGAAAGGCAGCCTGTTGGTGTTGTCTGTTTGCAGCATCCTATTTCTCACAGGAGTTGCTTTCTTCTTTCTAACTACTCACAGATAGCACATTTTTGAAAATGAAATCTTGGAAATACTGGATGTAGCTCTCTGTGATGATTAATAATCATAAACAGGCTTAGATAAGAAATCAGGAAATTGAGACATTTCCTTGACCCTGCTGCTGCTGCACTGAGTCCTTCACATCTGTGCTGATCTGCTTAAGGTGTTCAAGCATTTAAACTTGTCGGGACTGAGCATAAGAGTAGAGAAGAAGTGGCAGGTCTGCTGCTGCTTCTGAGTGGTTCATGTCCCAGAGTGCCATAGTGGATGGGAGAGAAGGAATCACAGGAAAAACACAAATGATAGTAGGAATACAATGAGCCTCCAAAAAAGAAAATTGGGGGGGGTGGGGGGGGTGGGTGTTTTTTTTGGGTTTTTTTGGGTGGTGGCGTAAGACAGAGCCTTGAAGAACTAGGCCATTAAGATTAGGTATGATTATGCACCATAGGTAAAGATGTATTTTGTAGATGAAAGTTAGTCCATCTTTTCCAGTTCCTTTACTAAGTCCTGTTCCTCCTTTTTTCTTTTTTTCTGAACCTAATTTCTATCAATGTCCTTGATGACCCTATGTTTTCAGACCCCTACAATAAATGTAACCTGCTGTTACTATATCACCTCAGGCCTGCCATTAAGGACCTCTCTGCAGAGGGGACAGAAAAGAGATGGCAACCACATCTCCTTTTCCCTTTCATGTTCAAAGGGGTAAAGAAATTAAATGAGCAAGGCAATGGGAACTATTCCAGTAAAATCATGCACGGGTTACTTGGGTGCAGGGCACAGTCTCCCCCTTTGCTAAACGACACCAGCTGTGACTATTGTAATATGAGATCTTATATCCTTAAAAAGCTATACAGGGACATGTAATAAGACCTACACAAAATAGTCATCTCTTGATTAGGTTGTGTCTTGGATTCTGGAGTCACATGGATTTGCCAGTTATCTTGGGAACTGCCTTAAATTCAAGCTCATTTCAGGTGTGTTTGTTCTGGGTGCTCCTGCTTCTCCTTCAGACTTCTCCCTCTGGCAGCTTTTCTATTGAGAACAAACATTTAGCTCTGGGACATTGTTCCCTGCAACACTAGAAGAAATGGGGAGATGAAACCCAGGAAAACTAACATATGCTTGTATTCCTTTAGAAACTTTCGCATATTACTTATTGCTCTGCTAACAAAGCCCATGTGGGTTTTATGAACAAATTCTCTAACTGTGCATCTCTTGACTGGAATACTGCTAAGTTGAAGTCACTAGGAAAAGTGTCTGGGCAATCAAATATGAAAGAAGGAATAAAAATTCAAAAAATAAATGTTGAGAGGGATTTGAAGAGCACTGGGGAAACCACCATTGTCTTGGATGAACCTCCTGCCTTCCGACTACTGCCTAAAACACCACATCTTGGCTATGTTGCTCAGAAAGTCCAAGTCACACTGTTGGAGGAGTGAATATGCCGATTTTGAGCCCACAGTAATTATCTGTTGTTGTTTTTTCTAGTGCCAAGGTGAGGTATTGAAAGCAACTGTTAACACTGGGTGTCTACCAAACCTCATCTCCAAGAAGTGTTTAAACCAGCTGGGGTAAGTCTTTGCACAGTATAAAAGGAGGGATGGCTACAGGAAAAATTATGGCAAGAACACAGGCACTCTGGATTCCCAGCCAGTGATAATTACTGGCAGTTTTGCATGTGTTGCATGTGTTTAGGAGAAGATGCAGAGGGTGAGCTACAGGGAAAGGCATTAGAGCACTGGCAAAGCTGTGTGCAGACCCCAGACTCTGAGGCGGAGCTGTGCAATTCTGTCTGTATGCACTGAAAGGCAAAGCTGCCCAACTGGTGGCTGGTGGTGAGGTTTTGCTTGTTGAATCTGCCTCCAGACATACTGTATGAAAGAGATTCCCCCTCTTGTGGGCCTGTTCCCAGTGAGACCTAGAAGAACTGCCATCAGTGACAAGTCTTGGTTTTCCTCCTCTTTCCCTGCTTGAGACAATAACACCTCTTGTGTCCCACAGGCTGGAAGAAGTGTCTGCCATGGATTGTGGAGACCTCTCTCTTCCGATCCCCAGCGTTGTTGGCAGAGTAGAACATATGGAATTGCAATTTGGCCAGGAGACAGTGCTGTGTTCAGCACTGGTTGTAGGTGAGAGTACCTGCCCCTCCTCTCCCTTGTTTATCCTGTGTCCCTCTTGCCCTGCCAAGGGCATTTAAAGGACTTTTGGAAAAAGCAGAACATGGTGGAAGGTTGGTGATGTGGCCACTTCCACAGCAGGCCAAGATCACCGTACACAGTGAATACCCTCAATATAACCAAAGGCAAAGGGCATAGGAAGAGTACAGAGTACCTCACATTGAAAGTAAGGAGAAATTAGATGTTTTTTCAGTCTTAACTACGGATGTGAAAAATTCCCATTTTGATTCTAAAATGGACCTTCCATAAAATTCTGAAGATGGCTTGATTAATCCACTGGTGCCTTATGTTCTCCTATGGAACGGGTACTTGTATCTCTGGCTGGCTGGAAGTCATCACAGAAAGTAACAGAGGGTACAGCTTATTTCCTAGAGTGCTTCTCTGTGTGCTCCTCTGCCTCTGCTGCAGGGAGCACCCTGGAAGAACCTGGGATGCCCAGAGTGCTAAGTCTCCTTCAAAGTCATGCAGCAGGACCCTTTGAAGGAAGGAGCCATAGGAGACAAGGTCAACCCAGCAGGCACTGAGGCAGGCCCAGAAAACAGCAGAAAGGCTGCATATTCTGTATTTACATCAAGCTGTGCATATGCTAAAAACAACGTGGCTGTCTTTTTTTCCCCCTGTTCTTTCTCCCTATTAGTCTTCCAGCTTTACCTTCATGCTTTAATCTGTTTCCCCGTCTTCAATGAGCCCTGTTCATCTTCCAAGGCCTCCTCTGCTCCCTCTTTCCTACATTCTTCCCACATTTCTAAGTCATCTAGAAAGAACTTCCTTCTCTTAGACACTCCAACTTGCTCTTCTTTCCTGCTTTCCACTCTGCATGTTCTTGTCCTTCATGGGCAATCTGTATCAGTACCAGCACAAGTGAATTTACTCCATAGCTACTATCTACTACCCATTTTGTTGGAATGTGGGAATGGCTGCCTGGAAGGAGCAGAATTGCTATATCTGTGCCTTACATTTCCCTGTGCACACAGTGCTCTCACTTATGTGGTTACAAAAAAATTATAAATTGCAGCCACTGGTTACAGGGCAAGCAGGCCTCTGGCAGGCATGGGAAGTGTTAATGACATTACAAGTGGCTGCTGATTCCTGTAGATTCCAGGATGTGGGAATTCCTCCTTAGCTACTACTTTAACCCCTGACATTTTCTGTTTGCTGACACTGAAGATTTGCAGCAGTTACGAGTAGGACAGACAAGTTACATGGAAAAAAAAAACCTTAATAAAATTATTTAATAAGATCACATAGATTGCAGCCATTAGGTGCAGGATTTGGTCAAGAACTGAACCAATAGCCTGCTGCATGTGACCCTCTCCTCTCCATATTCCCATACTTGTTCTCCCCTGATTCACCCTGCTGCTTGCCCTCTGCCTTTCGTCCTTCCCTTACACAGCCCATAGTAAGATTTATGGGATCTCACAAGCCCCTTCTGATATCTCATATTAAGTTTCAAACAATCACACAAACCCCCTCAAATTTACCTCACAGTAGTCATGATAAACATAATTTCCTTCTCTTACCAGCTGCAAAGTTCGTTTTGACCATATTCAGGACTGTGCTTAAATAGCTCCTTTAAAGGCTCAGCAGTGAGTGGCAGAAGAGTGCTGATTTATTATTGTCACTGTTACCATCTGCTTGTTAATGCTGGTGTGTTTAACTCGTCCTTTTCCTTGTCATTTTTTATCTGCTTTATACTGAAGAGATGATAGCCATAAAAATTAATGAATCAGATGTTCTTGAATTCCATATCCTTTTACAGGAGAAACACACTGTCTTTAATGAGGCATTATTACATAATCTAAAGCCTGATCAGTCTCTTCTCTCTTCTCAGATGATGAAATGCTGGAGTTTTGCATTGGCCTCCAGACTCTGTTGTCTCTTAAGGTAAGGAACAGCTCTTTCATATTGCAGAGCTCCTTTCAGGAAGCTCCCCAAGATTTGGCTGTTGCAGCATCAGAATTACTTCATAGTAAAAAATCCCAGGTCTCTCATGGCAAGGCTTGTTGCACAGCTGCCTGACTGGGTGCAGTATGCTCTGAGTCACTGATTCTTTTCCAGTCCTTCTTAAAGTCTTTAAGAAAGAAAACACTCAGTAGGATACTATCACATCTCCCCTTCTCTGTATTCCTGACCACACAAATTGCAAGCAGCAAGAGGAAACTGGAGACAAGGCATGAGTTAGACCCATGTTGCAATTTGAGGGCAGATGAGAACAAGCTCTGCCCTTGCTTTAAGCCAAATGAAGCTGTATGATCACATTCAGTGTCCAACACTCGCTGGCCATGAGTGGAAAGAGTCCTCTCCTTTTGTCAGCTTAGCTCAGGGTCAGTGCTCTGCTGAGCCTGGCTCCTGGGTGGCTCAGGATATGGCTGCAGCAAGCTGGCTCATGCCTGTCACTCATTTGTGGCCACATGTCAGGCTCATAAAACAGGAAAAACAATGGGGTGAATGGCTGAGTGATGTGAAGACATCAACTCAGAGAGGGTCATAGGAAGAAGAGAGGGAAATGGCCCTGTGAAGAGTTTGGAGATTAATCCCATTATGGGGAACTGGAGCAAGGAGGCAGCATGTGGGACAAGGAAGGAAAACTGTTAAGGTCTCTACAAACCCAGGGAGGTATTATGGGCTCTCCTCAGTGATAGACGTCATGAGGTTTACTATCTGAAATGTCCAGCAAATAACTGTCTCTCTCCTTCCTTAGTGTTGCATCGACTTGGAGGAAGGTGTCCTGAGATTTAAAGCACTGAGTCAGGAGCTGCCTTTTCTACATGCCTCTGAAGAGCCTGGTCAGTGACCGGCTGCATTTCCCATATCTGGAGACTTCCTGCCACAAGAGAGAGATGAGGGTGAGGCTCCCATGCCCCTAACCTTGCTGAGTTCTAGGCTGAGGCATTCAATGGGGAGTGAGAAAAAGGCAAGCGGGTGCTGGAAGCTGTCACTGGGAGTGCCTCAACTTGAGATATCCCTCCTTTCAGTGGACCCTCTTGTCCTGATGTGCCGAGTGGACATTTTGTTCTTGTTCTGCTATTTGGCCCTAGTCACTCCAATTTCTGGTTCTGTAATAAATTTTTGTTATCCCTTAATGACTTTACAATACACTCTGTTCACAAGAGACTCTCTGTGAACAATCTCCAGTTGTTCTATTGAGAGGAGAACGGCTTTTTCTCCAAAGACCTTCAAAGATTACCACGAACGTTTCCCTTATTGTTGCCTCAATGCCAGCGTACACCAGTCCTGTTTCTTTGTTGGAAGGGCTCTGTTCCCTTTGCCTGTGCTCTGGGAAGCTGGATTTTGCTGCTTTTTGCTGGCTCAGAGCAGAACAGAAGTATTTTCTTGGGAAAACTTTGTGGCAAAAACAGTTTTAGAGTTCTCAGTTCTAAGAAACCTTTGCAGAAATGTTGAGTGTAGATGCCTGAAGCACTGACAAAGGCTTGGGCTTTGCCATTACATTCCTGGGCACTAGGCTATATTATATGAACAGCAATGCTTACCATCTCTTGGTGTTATACCCTGTAGCCAGACTTGCACACCCCGTTCTTCTGGCCAGGCCACTCCTCTCTGCACTCCAGCTGCTAGAGCTGCATCCCTGTTCCCTCCACTGCTTCATTGGAGATCACTCAGTTTAAATGCTGCCATTAATTACAGTACCAAGTCTTCTGCTCTGTCAGCTCCTTTCTTTCAACTTGAAATCCAGTGGTTAAACACAGACACATCATCAGCCTTGAGTCCTGGCCCATCAACTTTGCTTCTCTTGCACAAAATGAGAACTTGTAGTATCAGCTCAGGTTAGAGAACTGTGAACTCATCTCAAATGTTAAAGGTGATTATTAAGTCACTTAACAATTGGGTTTATTTAATTTCTTTTTTTTAATTTCTATATTCAAGTATAGCTGTATTAAAAATACATAATGAATTCTTAACTAGTTCTAGGAAAAATGCACTAGATCAGGGCTCCTTCCATGCCTCATGGCTACTGATTCACTATCCAAACTGCAAAATGTACCTTTATCCACCCTTAAAATTCTATGACAACCCCATTTTGCCTATTTTCCTAGATTAAACACCACTGACTCTCTTATCAAAATGTTCATTGTCCTTGTTGTGCTTCTCAAAAAACTGCTTTTTTTTTGTTAGCTCTTTTCTCTACAGCTGTACACTGTAGTTTAACACATGCTAAGGACATCAGAGTAAAGCTTGGCTGATATGATTTGGGATTCACATACCACTGATAGTTGGCGTGACTGGCATCTGCTGCTCCTACAAGGAGCATCAGACTTTTACTGTTTGTCATCATATCTTGCAGCTTCTGATATATTCCTTGACTTCTCTGCCACTCTTCTACTTGTGCATCTGACTATTTTTGGCTGCAGGAACTGCTTTCCATGAATCTCTCGAGTGGCACCAACAGTTCTCTCATTTAGTCAGGAAAGCATGCCTACTCAATGAGCCTGTCTTCCAAAGTAGCAGTAATTCCTCCTGGATTTGTATCACTTGCATGCCTGACTGGCTTCTCAAACCCAGGGGTCTAGGCAGCTCACACTTGTACTAAACCATCCTGTGTTCTAGCTGCAGTCTATGTGGGCTATGTCTGGGCCAATTCTGCTGACAAAATCTTGCTTGTGATAGACAGAACACCTGTTTCTATATGCATCAACTCACTCAGTTTCCAACTCTCATTGCCCTCTAAAAACAGCATGTAGAACAAGGGCAAATAATCTATACATACAGATGCCACAAATCTTATTAACTTCTACAATCCATTAAAAAACCCCTCTAAACCACAACCTAAAAGCTGATTTTAGCCCTAACCCAAACAATAAACCCTAACAATGATCCTGAATCTAAAATGTAAGGCACTAAACCCTAATCCTAAATTTAACCCTTAAAACAAACTCTAAAACTTAATGCTGGCACCTAAATCAAATCACCACCCTCTAACTATAAAACTTAATATTAAACATAACCCCCTAAATTTAACACTGTAACCCAAACATCTACCGTCTGACTTTAAACCCAAAATAAAAACCTAAAGATATTAATTTATAAACCCTAATCCCAAAACCTAACCATAATCCCCAACCCTAAACTCTAACCATTAAGCTAACCCCAGCCCCTAAACCTAAACTCCAAGGCCTAAACCTAACCCCTATCTCTAAACCCCAAACCATAACCTAACCCCTAACCCCAACTCTAAACATATCCTTAACCCTACACCTAACCACAACCATCTAACCCTATCTGATGGCTTTTGTCATTCCACAAGGGGCCCTGCTTCCCTCTAGAGTGCTTTTGCTGAGTTTTGCTTTGCCCTGTGAGGGGCCCTGCTGCCTATCAGAGCATCCCAGGGCTTTTGACAGGCTTTGCAAGGCCCATATGGGGCCCTGCTTCTCTGTGGAGCACCACAGGGCTTTTGTTGGGCTTTGCTGACGCCCAGGCAGGTCTCTGCTGCCTTCCAGAGTGTCTGACAACTTTTGCTGGGCTTTGCTGGTGCCCACAAGTGCATGGGAAGGGGAGGGCCACCAACAGCTCTAAGTTCTGGCCACTTCCTTCTAGGAGCAGTGCCCAGTGTCAGTTTTGCAGCTGGGCCCTGGCTAGGGCAAGGGTGTAGGTGAGTAGCAGCTTTCAGACTGAAGCCAACAGGAATCTTTCTAATGATTTAAAAAGTGTTGGATGGGATCCTACAGAAAACCGCCACAACTTTGAGTTGACAATTCTGTTTTGACTATCACTTGCAGCCCGGCAGGTACCTGCACACTAGCTACTGCTGGAATTCACCAGGTGCTGTTCCTACATGTATGTCTTGGAATAACTGCTTTTGCTCACATTCAGAACTTCCTCCAGATTTTCTGAAGCCTTTCTGTGGTTCACATGCCTCATATCCTAAATCACTAACAGTTTGGTCTCCTCCGTGAATTAATGTGCTGCAGTAGGTGAAAATCTCTAGCCCTACTCCTCTCTTCTCTGCTTAATGACTCCTTCCTATCCTCCTTTCCTTCCACTCACACTGGTGACAAATTTCCTTCAAAAAGGAATTATTTCCTTTTTAGAGAATCCTTTTAACACTTGCCTTGTACCCTGGTTGCTAATACACTTGCACATTGTGCCACAATCTTGCCAGCCTTTTCTCTTTGTTGTAAACAACTGCATGTACAAATTCTCAGTCACAGAGAGGATGTTTCCAAGAAAGCACTAAATTAGTGTGAGTTCTTTTCTCAACTCTGAAATCAGCTCTAGGGCAGAAGACATGCTCTTCACCTTCCTCCTGTCCATGTCAGTTGAACACACAGATCAACTCAGTAGCAGTCTCTTTCATCCAGACATTGAGGAATCTGTTGCCAACAGTTATCTTGGAACCTCCCCATCAAGCTTTGCTGCAGGCAGAGCTTCCAGAAAAAAAAAGCATTTATATGACTAAATGAGAACTGCAGGTCATGATGCCATGGCAGACACCTCACTTCAACCCATTCACTGAATCAGTCTAATCCTACAGGGTCAGTACCTGCTTTCCTCACTGGCGCAGCTCCTGGTGGCTTTTTATCTCCCTAAGCTACTTGGCATAAAATGACACACTGTTACTGCACTTGACATGTGTATTCTGAAGTCTAGCCCAAAGACATTTTTCCTTTCTGCAAAGCGTTTTTGTGCCATTACATCTGAAGCACAGCCTCCATTGTGAAAGAAACAAGTCTTGGCTTTAAAACGTGATGGTAAAATAGGACTTACAACATCTCAAAGAAGCAAACTCAACTCCCATCTACCTACGTGGTAATTTTTAAGTCTTCCAACACTGTGGAGCACAGTAAGGAGTTTTTGAGTGGGCTGGCAAGGCTGAAGGCTGTCTTCATTGTAGTTTCTCTTGGAAAAGCTTATTATAAAGATACACTTCCCTACTCCCAAATCCAGTCATCTCTATTGCTTTTGGGGGATAAAGGGAACACAAGAATAATCTAAAGATCTTTTCCACTGAAGATCAGAAAATCCTAATATTTTCATACAGAAAGCAGAAGTTCAGTACAAACTGCCAGCTCAGAGAAGGACACAGGCACATCCTGTATGTGTCCAATCCTGGCTTCCTCATTATGAGGCCTGTCCCATATAAAAAAACGGATTATTATTTTAGGGATAATCTCTTTGAACCACCTTGGTGGCCAGTGCCTATCAGGGCTGTTTTCTAATAGAGTGGGGGCAGCAGTTGTGGAAAAGTCTGCAGGGAAACACCTGCCATAGCAAATCTCTGGAACAGTACGCAATACACCCAAGGATGTGGAGAAGGACTTCTGTCCTTCCTGAGAACATGCACTCTGCCAAAGCCATAATCAGGACCACTTCCAGGAGCTTGGGGTCACTTGGTTTTCAACAGAATGGGAGCTGCAGCCATCCATATTCCCAGAGGCTTGCTCCTTCTTTCACTTACAGCAGGCGAGCTATGGCATTGAAGACCATTGAGCCTAATACCTGTGATGTTTGCATTCAATCCTCCTCTCAAGAGACTCCACTGGCACATGCCAGGATACACCTGAAGAGTTATAGAAATAACTAAATTATAGCAGAAAGTTCATAAAAATAAGGGCAGGGATGGAGAGCAGGTTTATTATGTCTCAGGAAAATAAGGCAACCGTCTCCTTTTATTTTTTTGCTAGTAAACTGAGCATCAGAACCAAAGCCATGAATCATTTATCTGCAAATACCCCCAGTGCCTGAGAATACTGTCAGACTCCTCACTTGCTGTGTGCTGGCACTGGGACATACAAAGGTGTCCTGCAAATGCTGCCCTGTTGAAAAGTTTCCCAGCACCAGCAGGTTATGCCAATCTGATAGAGTAGGATACAGCAAACAATATTTTCTGCTGTGTGGGAAGGAACCACTTCTAAGTCCAACTCTGCGGCTTCTATTAGCTGGCAAGGACAAACAGACAATTAGTTACAAAGAAAGTATAATGTAACTCCATCACTCCAGAAACAGAGCCTTAAGTGGCTTCTCTTCCTGAGAAGATGGACACTTCACAGAAAAACTGTTGCCAGTGGAAGTAGACTGAATAACAAACTTCTGGAAGTATTTGACACTTGGAGCTCAAGGCAGGAAAAAATAAGGAAAACCATCTTTTGGCCAAGGAATGGTACAGATGGTTCAGTTAATTCTTCTGTAGACACTTTTCATTTTCTCTTGTGCACAAGGGGCACAGGAGCAAAATGCATCTGCAAGTTATTATGTGCTGCACACAATATAAAACTGTCAGGGGAAGCCCTCGAATGTTAGTATTTTTCCTCTCCAATGGTTTTTAAGAGCTGAAAAGTTTTGGGGAACAGATGTTTTTGTAGTGTCTGTATTTTCTCACCTCTGCTTTTCATAGTGTGCATTGCCTGGGCTTGCACAGCACACAGCAATGTCATCCTCAGGCCAGCAAAAGAGGGTTGGGGTGCACAAATGGCCCTGCCCAACATTTGCAATACTTTTACCCCATTTTCTTTTAAAGATGGTTCTTAGAAAAAGTATCATCTCTCCCTCAGTAACCCTTTCCCATTCTTTCTCAAAAATTAATAGTCCAACAGTAGACCAGTTTGACCTTCCTTTCTTGGAAATCATTCAATCTGTACAGCAAAGTTTGTTTTGTACAAAACAGTTCCCGCCATATGCACCCATTTGTACACTGCTTGTGTTGCTAATAAAGGTTTATATTTGGTGTTGCTAATAAAAGTTTATATTTGGCATGGACAGACAGCACTGAGTTGTTCTGTTAGGAGTGTAGGCCATCCTGTTCCCCTGCCAGGCCCTATTTGCCAGAAGCAATGGTGAGGATTCCTATTGGTTTGGGTGGCTGCACAACTCAATGTCACAAGAGCTGACAATTTGTTGAGGTTACAGTCTAGGTCTGACAAGTTTCAAGACAAACTCCGTGCTTTAGCCCATGAGTAGATGGTCCCTGTGGTATCAGTTCTCCACAGCTCACAGATTCAAACCTTGCTGCTCTCAACACCACAGCAAATAAGCTCTATTATTACTTGAAAGGTCCTGCCGGAAGGGTCCAGTTTTACACAAGCACTTAATATGACAGGGGAACATTTAAAAATGCTTCTCAGCAAGGCCATTAAGATGGAGAAAAATTTCTACTGCAGTTAGAGAGTAAGAAGATACAGTGGGCTGAGAAGCAAGCTAGCAGGTACAGAGCAGGTCACACCATTTCACTGCTCCATGCTCCAACTTCCACTGCTACCAAACACAGAGGACAGCATTGTCCTCTGGAAAGCTTATATAAATCTATGGAGGGAGACTGCAAAGAACAGCTAAGGTTTATTATGTAAAGATCCTGCCCTTCTACCACATAGGGCTGCTTCAACAACAGTCACTTTGACCCAAGGGCAAGACACTCCTTTTCTCTACACAAAGCATTTTCTCCCAGTTAGGGCTGCCCTTGGATATTTTGCAGAGTAAAGCACAGCAGGTTTTCAACTGCCTGCAGGATCTTTAAATGCTGCCACTTGATCCAGATCACTGAATTGTATTTGCTGTGACTCAAGCTGCTGTAAGGGCAAAGGGACAGCTCCATCCATCACACATATCCAATGAAACATCACACAAGTGAAAGGGGATAATCGATACCAGCCAGCAGGTAAGTCTGCTGTGCCTTTCGAAACAAGCTGAGTTAGAAAAGGGACAAGCTAAGAGAGGGAAAAGCACAATAACAACAGCATGTGGAAAGGTTTATGCCAGGCTTCTGCAAATGAGCTCTCCTTCACCAGACTCCTCGTACCAGCCAGTGGAACATCACTTCCAGCCCACCTCCTTCAGCTATAAGCACTCAAAGCATGACACTCTCCACAAGAAGAGGCAAGAGTTTATTGTGGGAAGGCCAAGCTCTCATAGCACCACAGATCCACAGTTAAGTCAGACTGGTCTTACTGACCACTTCACAGCTGCTTTGTTAAGTCACAACCTTCTTTGGGATCACCCTGCCCAAGATGATGGAGACAAGCAATGACTCTTGACAAGAGCTGGGTTTGCTGGAGCTGCTATCTTTCCACACCTTATTAGTGCAAGTTGTGCATATCTCCAGCTACTCAGAACAGGTGATTTCTGAGAAACTGCTTGGTAGAAGAGCAGCAGCAAAGCAAAGACAAACAATGCATGGCTCTACTTTAAATACACCTAAGTGGAAGAAAAGGCCTGTGCCTGCACCCTAAATCAGTTTTTCCATCTCCAATTCCTGCACTGTGACCCTGCTAAGAACTCAGAAGTATTCACTCAAGTACTTGTAAGAATAGGTCAAAATGGAGACTTAGCTCAGTTGTTCTCTCCATCTGTGACCTCATGGCTCCTTCACAGTGACCAGTGGAGCACTTCACTTAGTGAGGAATGTGGAAACTGGCAACAGAAGGCCTATGTGCAGGATCCTTGGCCCTTTCTGTTCTTGTAGCTGCCTCAGCTAAAGGCAGACCAAACCATCACATACAGGCAAGCCTATAGCCAAGAACAACCCTTCACAGTCTGTAGACCCTTTCCTGTTTGGAAGTTTTGACAAGACAGGGAAAGAATAGTCATCCTCATCAGATGCCCAAATTCAGCTGCAGAAGAGCTTGTGCTGGCATTAAAGATGTCAGCTTTCTTGTTATGAGGGATCCTGGACGCCACTGCAGTGGGCAGAAGAATCTGTTCCAGCAGGATCCTGCGAGGGGCTGCTGAGATGGTATTTTTCAGGAAAATAGAGTGTTTTGTGAATCAGGTTTTTGACAGCAGAAACATCGTTTCTATCTAAGGAAAAGACAGAAAACCAGTTAAGCATTCTCATCAGGCAGTGTGAAAGCCTCTTCCTCAAGAAATACTCTAGTTCCCAGCACATCATCTGCCAGCAGCCCTTTCTCTCTTTTGTTCTGTACATCCTCTGCTCTTTCTGCACTCACCTATACCCAGCTGCTGCAGCAGACTTCCAAACTCTGGATCAGAATCCAGGATTTTCAACAGGTTGGTGGACTCCATTCTCTCCAGCTGCACATCCCAGTAGATGTAGATCTTCTGGCTGAAGCTGACATAAACAAGGCAGGGACTGTTGCTCCCCTCTTTGCATGCATACAGGCCTGCAGAAAGCAGAAGTGTGGAGATGTGACTACTTCCAAAAGGAAAGAGAAAGCAAATAATTCACATTTCATGAAGAGGTACCAAAGCTGTTAGCAGAAAACAGCAACCACCTGGGCACAGGTATGGGCCTGGATAGATAAAGTCCCTTTGAGACAATCCAAGAAGCTATCTCTGAACAGCATGAAGCTTGAGGATTTGCAAGCTGCTTCTTGCAGGTCTGAGAGAAGACCTGCAGAGCCAAAACTCAGGCTGGTTCCATCGGCTCCCTATCTCCACTTAAGAACAGCTTAAAAGTCACCAAATTAAAAAAGCAGTGTGGAGGACAAGAGACAACTTGTAGTACCTCCAAAAAGGACAAGGAAAAAACCCCAAGCCACCACAGACAAGCCTCAGTATCACTTTCTCTCACCCTTACTTTTCCCAGATGCCACCAAGGGGAAAGACTAGCTGGGCCTTCTGCAATATGCGCACAGGGAAATTATTCAGGCAGACAGAAGATCTGGGTCTCCTAGATGGGAGTAGTAGCTTTGAGGGGAAAATGCTGTGATGGCTGGCTTTGTAGTCAGGCTTCCCACCTGCACAGAAGGCACTGACATTCTCGTCTGCTTGGAATCTGGCCACAGTCCGGTTGTGGTCGATGATGTACGTCTGACCATCCCACGCACAAGCAATCACCTCCTCGTGCCCATTGCCCTGCAGGAAAGGGAGGACTGCACATTACACAGATGTTACCTACTCCCAGGGACAGCAAAGACTCTTTCTTGCTGGTTCAGAGACACAACACTAATGTCTAGATGCCACTTCTGGACATCTCATCCAGGTATTTCACACTTGGAGCTCATCTCTCTTCTATATGGCAATCCCTGCGTACTGAAAGAGCTTTTAGATAATCGGGGTATTAGCAGTGAGCAAAACCATTCAGCTTTGCAGTGAGACTGAAGAACAGCTGGGGGACAAAAGTTTATAAATGGATAAATGGATGCTGGGTCTAACAGGCAGACACAGCTCATTCTCTTGCAGCTGGGCAGACTGACCTCAGTGCAGAATGTACTACTACAGGCAGAACATTCTGTGTCATCCTGAGATAATCCCAGCCTTTTCCAGCTGAGCCATACTCCTTCCACCCTTTCTATATTCATATACACAAAGCCATGCTGAGTTTGTCTTCATCTCTCCCAGCCTTACTCAGATACTCACAGTAACATCCAGCTTTTCCAGAGCAAAGAGCTGGTGATCAACCTGAACAGACCAGAGCAGCTTGTCTGCTCCCTCCATCAGTTTCAGTGTTCCTGAAGAACAAAGAAAACAACTGTCTTGAAAACAATAAAAGAGAGCAAGATGCTTGCTAACACTAGGCCCTGCTCCTTCAACACTCAGGGTTGCTGAGAATTAGTTGCTAACAGCACAAGCATGGTCTTGGCTGCTAAATCCATACTGGACACTTGACCCCACCTACCACGCTCCCATTATCCAGATATACTGCAGCTGTACTGGGCAGGGCGCACTGGCCATGAGAGGGTGGAACATAAACAAGCATCTAGCCTCACAGTGCTCTCTGTGCTTCCATATAAAATGTGTCAGCATGAGTCTTTGAATCAAATTCTCTTGCCTGACCCTTGAGGAGTTTCTGAAGCCCAGCTTCCATTTCTTTTAAAAATCAAAAGCACTGAGCCCCTAGTTCCCTGTTCTGAATTAGTGACAGGCCTTGGCTGCCCCACAGGTCTTCTTCCAGGACAGTGGCAGGACTTACCATCCAAAGTACAGAGGGCAAAGAGACCTGAGCCACTATTCTCACTGGAGCCTGTAAATGCAAAAGAAAATTACTGGAGCTTATGACATTTTTTAAACATCGTCCTCTCCCTCTCCTGAAAACAACAGAAAGATCCAAACCAAACTGATCCATGCTGCCTCCTCCCCTCCCAGCTGTGTGCAGGAGAGCACCGACAAATGTCACTAATTCAATCTGAAGAGGAGAGTCCCCTGAACACCTGAACCCTGCTGCTTCAGCCCTTCAGTAAACTCTACCTAGCTACTAAAGAAAGAAGACGTGCAAGGTCAAGTTTTAAAAATATGACACTCCCAGAGAAAAGACTGGAGCTGTATTCAACTAAAGCTGCACGTAATCCTTTCAGTGACAATATAGGAAAGGCACTGGCTGCCTGAGGAGGAGCCCAGGAAACCTGGCAGCCAGGAGCAAGCCAGCAGAGCTGCAAGCAAGCAGGCAGTTTCCCCAGAGTAGGTTAACAACACCAGCCTACCTCCAGTGCCCATAGACAGCTCCAAGCTACAGCCCCCTGAACACTGCCAGGCTGCAAACAACCCCATTCCTGCAGAGCAGCCTAAAGCTAAACCCAGCTGGTTGGGTGCTTAACTGCCCCAGTGACATGCACCCAGACAGGCTCTGATCCAAGAGATCTGCTGTGTGCCCTTTGGAAAGTGGTCAGCATGGCACTCTTCAGCTGTTCCTTTACTGACAGTCCAGCATCAACGGGCTTTTTTACAGCCTGCTCTCCATCCCTTATTCTGTATGCCTTCATATTTCACAGACATCTCTCAACAGATACAAGGCTTCATATGCAGTGAAATAATTGATTTCATGCTCTGTTGACCATGTTGCTCACAGCAGCATCAGAGATGCTGAAAACATGACAAGCTTAGGAACTGGGCAGGAAAGGTCCTCTGAGGAACGGGAAGAGGGTGGAGTTCAGTGGATTGCTCTTGTTCACAACCTCTAATTACACTGGACAGCCTGAATCATTCTTGGACAGCACTGCAGGAGGCAATACTTGGGCAGAGCAAATACAAGAAAAAGTGATCTCTGCTGGAAGTTTTCTGCCTTCTATTATGCCCACACACTCCAAAGGGGAGTGAAAGCTTATTCTCCAGAGGCACCAAAGGAGGGTTCAGCAGGTGCACCAGGCCCAGGTCAGAGCACAAGGACTTACAGGAGGGAAGCAGTGCCAGTGTGCAAGAAAAGTCTGGGCACAAGAGCAGTGTGTCAGGGCTCAGAGAAGCTGGCAGCTGTGCAGACTTTAGATACAAGACCTGAACACAACACAGTGGAAGAAGACAGAGGACAATGATAGAGATGAAATATGGAAGCAGCTCTGGAGAGGTTGGGGCTGCACAGGAGAAGGAAGAGCAGGCCAGAGCCACCAAGAATTGAGATTCAAATGCTGAAAAGCAAGAAAAAAGATGAGGCTGTGGGAAGGAAGAGATGCACCTAGGGAATAAAAAGGAGGCATAAGCTACAGCCATGCAGAAGCAAGGATCAAGGACATCTGTAGGAGCATGGCATGGCAGCTGTTCAAATGGACTAAATGCAGGTCAGCAGAGGCTGCAGAAAAACTCTTGTGCTGAATGAAGGACAAGGGCTACCTAGGGAAGGACAAAGGCTATAAAAAGCTCACATGCAAATATCCAACTGTCTTTCTTTGGGAGCTGGCTAAGAGAAGCTGAGATCCCCGTGTTCTTGCAGCTGCCTCTCAGAGTTATTTTTCTAGCACAGGATATCTGATTTCATTCTCGACTGATATACTGAAAAACCATCAGGGGCAACTGCTGGGCTGGAGACCCCAAGCTGCTGATCTCTCACCTCTGGCAATGCTACCAATCAGATGAGTGGAGACGTTCTTGTTGTGAATCCGTCCAGATGTCTGGTGTAGAATCACATCTCGAACAGGGGCCTCACTAGGGAGAAGAAAAAGACAACAGGGAAAAGTTAAAGAACCATGCCTGGGACTGTCTCAGAACAATTTCGGGAGCAGTGTATTCCAAAGCTCTAGAAATCCAGACAGTTTGTGAACAGGTTGAGCCCTTTAATGGTAAAGGAAGAAAACACATGTCACTCCAGGTATTAAAGAAATGCACTGATTTTTAAAAACACAAACCCAGAATGATTTAATGCATAAAAAAAAAAAAAAAAGAAAATTAAAAAGAGCTCAAAACAAAATCAGTAAGGCCTGTATTCCAATAAAGGAAAAAAAGGACAATTTTTATTGTTAGTGTTACATAAGCCTGGCTGCTTTTCTCTCACAAAATATCTGCCCAGACTGAACAGGTTGGTGAGAGACCACATGTGGACCTGGCTTCTGGCTAACAGGATACCATTCCACTGAGTTCTCTAAGACATCAAGGAGACTTGCCTAGTTCCCCTCCTGCTGCAGTTGTTTGTGTCTGCCTTGAAGTCTGACAGAACACCACAGAAGCACCCAAATTCCCCACCATGGTCCTTCCAGCACTAACACACTAACAAGCATCTCACTGCTCATCCTGGTTGCTGTGGTTGTGGTTTACAGCACTGGCTGCCAGGGGACTCATTAGGGAAACTTCTAATTGCCTCACCTGCAGAAAACAAGTGAACGAGCCCGGTTTTATCCAGGGCTTCAGATGTCTTTGGTTTGGCCCAGTCTCACAACTGCTACCCTGAAATCTGATGACTTTTCTCTGGAAATCTAGGTCATCCATTTCCCTACCTTAGCTCCCAGTAGTGAGGAACCCTCAGGGAGCTGGTTTTGCTACTCTCCTTGCCCAATTCAAGAATAGAGTGGGATAGAAGCAAAGCAGCAGTATTCATCTTCGTGATAGAGACATGAAGAGTGTTTATTGAAGCTTGGGTGCAGGCGGGCTTAAGTGATGAGGTGCCAGCAGCACAGCAAGTCACTGAAGAAAGGACAGCGACAGCACCTCCTACTTCACAACAGTGATGTGGTGGCACCCCCTCGTAACAGGCATCCACAGTGGCATGTGCTCATGTGCCCCTGCAGAAACACCCTCACCTGCTTGTGGCAGATTCATCCCTTCCCGCGGCTGCGTCCCGCTGCTCCGTGTCCCAGGTGCACAGCAGGATGGCATAGCCACAGCCTGGCTGTGACACCATCAGCTCTGGTGAGCCATCAGGGCCTGGGTTCACAGACAGGCTGTCCACCTACAGTGGCAGAGGAGAAACAGGGGTAGAGTCAAAAGCTCCAAAAGGTTTACAGTGCTCCCTGCAACTAAATTTGAATATGGCAAATCACCTGATAGAGCTGAGCAGCAGCTGAACAGCTGGAAGCAAAATGTCCAAGTTCAGTAAATGGTAAATGGCTGGTTCCCTACCAAAAGCCACTTTTAAACAACACTAGTATTTCCCACTAATGCTCTCCCATCAGCCAAGAGCAACTGCTTCTCAGACCAGCTTACCAGCTGTACAGAAAAATCACTGGGAAAATCTCCTCCCAAGCCATTGACATGACAGCTGTTTTGTTCATAGGACAGATTCTGTGCTTCTGCTCTTGAAAAAGCCACCTCTTGAGGACTGACAAGTACTGTTCCGAACATCCTTTTTCCTTACCTGACCTTCTAGAAGCCATTTCTTCAACAGGATCAACTGCCCAGAGACATGGTCTGAATTCTCTGACGAGTCCTCCCAGCGAAAGGCACGGACCACCCTGTCAGTGTAACCCACAACCAACTCACACTTCCCATCTCCATCTGCAGGGAAGAGAGAAAAACAGATGGACTCTCTCAAGCCCTAAGAGCCCAAACACACAGAAAACACTCTGCTGGTTTCGATAGTTAGCATCCCTGAAGACCCCAACGATGTAATGAAAGCTTGCACTTCAGAAAAATTCCTGAAGTTCTTGTTTCCCCCTTCCATGACTTGTCTGTGGTTTGTTGGAGTGTCTGTTTCAGCAAGACAGTAATTTCCTTCTGCAAGTCCCCCCCACCTTCTCTCCACACTGCCTCACACACAAACTCCTTCACCCTGCATTCCCACACCAGCTCTGTGGCTCACCAATGTCATTGATGAGCATGACCTTGGTGTTGGCAGGAATGTGCTGCTTGAACACTGGCTTCTGCTCTTCTGCCCCTGCCAACTCATGGTGGCCTGAAGCATCCGGGTGTTTGGAATTCAGGGAAGTCAGGTCGAAAAGATGAAACCAGCCTTCTGCACTCACCGCCACCACAAAATTCTGTGAGGGAAGAGAAAAACCTTCTGATTTTTCCTCTTTTAGGAAGTGCAGAAGCTGTCCCACAGCAGGGCAAAGGAGGACACAAGGGTAGATCAATCAAGATCAGTGACTGCTACAGAGGAAACAGGAGGCTTTTGGCCAGCACACAAACTTCTCTGCTACTGGCAGGATACAAACTTCTTGTTCATCTTTGCCAGACCACACTATCAAGCTGATATGTGTGCAATCCTCAAACAATGTGTGGCTTTCTCAATGCCCACGTCAGTTCTGCTCCCCACTAGTAGAAACACAGCTACAGTATTTTGGGCAGAGTGCTTTAACTGGGACCTTTGGACTCATTGGTCCTGACTTAACCCCCAGAAACAGCAATCCAACAAAAGGAGTCATAGTAGACCCAGTGGAATTTGCCTGGGAGTCCAGACTATTCCATGTCTCAGTCTTGTTTAGATGACCTTAAATGCACACAGCCAAGTGGCAGAAGGACCACAGCCCACAGCAGACAGCAGCCCAAGAAAGGCAAAAGCCACTGAGCAAAAGGAGCAACCCTCAAACCACCAAAGTCTCACAAGGGCACATGGAAATCAGAAGTGCTCTCTGAAGACAGGATGGATTTCCTTGCTCTCTAAAACCCACATAAGGCTCACAGAAAAACACCAGTTACGTATAAGCAGAGGAACAGTTTAAAAACAGTAATGCTAAAACTCTATAAGCAAAGGCAGATCCTACAGAGACAGCACTTCTGTCCTACTCACACTCAGCACATGACATGACCCTAATCTGAACACTTCCCACATGCCCTAGAGACAGCTGGGAACATGGCTCCTCTCACCTTTCCTTTATTGCACACATCTCCCACACGGACACATGTGAGCTGCAAAAGAAAACAAGGCCATCCATGAGAAAAGGCAACCCAGCCCAGCAACCTGGGATAAGCCTCTGCCCTACCCCCTCCTCTCCCATAAAGAATCTCTTGAACTCCTAGCAGCCTTTCGAGAGTAGAGTCAAGGGATAGAAACACAACTTGCCAGAGCCCTGGGGCAAAACCCACAGAGCAGGGTAAAGGTGGGACAGAAGCCCAGTTTCTATGTTTATCCATTTATTTGCTCTTCACTTCCAGCCCATGGGGCTGTAGGCAAAAGCAGGGTCTTGAAAGACATGAAAAATATCAGACACAGAAAAGACATGAAGGACATCAGAATGAGTTATGGCTGCCATTCCTCTCCAGCCGACATATTCCTAGGCAAAGGACAAGGACAGCTGGCTGCACATGCACATAAAGGCCCAACCATTTAGAAATTTTGTCAAGAACTAACCATTCCTTGGCAAGATCGCACAGCCCAGGGCTTGCTATCATCATTCTTGTAAACATAGAGCTTTCCATTGGTGTCTCCCACCACAAGTTCATTCAGCTGTACAAGAAAATTGAGTTAGTAGGAAGAAATCCACAATTACATTAACAGCATTCCTTTAACAGCAAAAATTTCAGAATTCATATCTAAAATTCACTCTGGGAAGAAGCAGCAAAACAAAATGAGTTAGACAATCTTGAATCAAAATGGGAAGTCTGGGAAAATATAAAAGCCCTAATTTTATTCTTGCAGATAAAAGAGATGGAGAATGGCTCCTTAAAGCAACATCCTATTACCTACTGCTTCTCCACTCATTGTTTCAGAGTTGTGACACTGACTGTTTTAACATCCTGCTTGGATGCTAAAACAATCATCAATATTCCGTCTTCCATCCTTCAATCTAGATTAACTTGAATCACTTAAGGAAGATGATGCCAATGAAAAAATATAACCATCCAGAAGAGTGCAAGAACACTTACAACAGATTTACACAGGATGTTCAATCTCACTGCTGAAGGGGTAAGGGGATTTCAGAATGGTGACTATTTCTTTAAAGAAGATTTCTAAAAATCACTAACAACCCACACTGATGTGACTTCTCCCATTATCCCATCTCCTGCATTATGCCTCTGTGTATTTAAATGGCATGCATGTCATAACTCCCTGCACACCTTACCCTACAAAAAAAAATGGGGAAATCTTTAATGATCTACTGCAGTGCTAGCCATGACACTTTCCAGGATAAGGCTGTAAAAAATCTTGACTGTTGAGGAGAAGAAACAGTTGACATGTAGCTGATTAAGCTAACCTCTTCCTAGTTACACACAAATCAAAACCAACCATATTTCAGGGGCTGACAGCAATACTCCCAATGCAGATCCATCCCATCCATGCATCCATCCAATCCCACGGGTCAGGAGACGCCGAGACTCGGCTCTATCCTGTTTGTGATCTGCTGTGCCCGGCAAAGCACCACTGCATCCCCACCACTGTGACAGGTCTATCGAGCAGAAGTTAAGCTCTCCTCTGGCTCTGGACCACTCAGGGCACATGGAATGGCGAGGGAAGCCCAGACCCGCTGCAGCCCAGCAAACATTCCCTTTGTAGAGCAACTCCTGGGGGGTTCTGATCGAAGCCCTGCGGCCCTCACACCGCTCAGGCGCCCGCCAAGCCCCGTGTGTGTCCCCAGGGCTGGAAGCGCCACGGCTCCTCCTGGCACTGCCTTGGGCCCGCACCAGCCGCTCGGTGCTTCCCCCCCAGCCCCGTTCAGGCCCCGGCTCCGAGGCGGCTCCGCGGGCACCCCCAGTCGGGCCCGCGGCCCCCTCCGCCCCACCCCGGGCTCGGACCGTGTCGTTGTCGGCGTCCCCCAGGCAGATGGCGTGCGGGAAGAGGCTGCCGGCGAAGTCCAGCGCCACGCACTGCACGTAGCTGACGGAGCGCATCCCGGCCGGGCCGCGGGGCGCAGGCGCGCCGGGAATGGCGGGAGCGCGGGGCGGGGCGGGGCGGCCGCAGAGCCCGCCTCAGCCCCAGGACCGCGCCGCTCCGAAAAACACCGCGCACCGGGAGGCATTCATACACGCACAGACACACGGGTGTGGCTTACAAAGTCAGTACTGTAACTCTTTATTTTTAGCTTTTTTTTTTTTTTTTTCTCTATAAGGACATACATAACGAAGTTTATAGTTGAAGTTTACATGCATGACCTCACTTACAAATACCAGTATGCCACCTTCTGCCGGCAACCAGACCCACTTTTAAAGACAGCACGGAACTGCCCGAACATGGCATGTTTAGTGTCCTTAACAGATTTACATTCTCAAACATTTCATAGTTTATGTAGTAACAACAAGGGCACAGTGGTACTTTCAAGACTGCTCACACTTAACAACAGATGCACCATTGACTAGATTTTTTTTAGATGTACCACAGAAATCATCACGTTTTGCTTTCAGAAACATGTACAACTATCATGCCTGTGGGAGATTTTTGAAAACTGATGTTCAACAATTAGAAATTTATCATTAGGACTTGGTTTAGCAGCAAAAACACTTTCAGCCACGGAGGCTTCTATTTCCAGGAATAATTAGCAACAAATCAAGGTTATTTACTTGCCGAAGAAGTACTCTGGCTTGGCATTCCTGTCCCCTTTAACTTTTTCTAGGTCTATAAATCCCTTCTAGCCCAGTTGACATTCACAGTGTTGTTTCCCACAAGAGGGGGTAGTGCTTTGGTAGAAGTTTCTCACATAAATGGGGCTGTTACTATAGTCAGAGCTCATGGAAATCACCCTCACTACCTGGCAACCCTCAGGCTTTATTAGGCAAATGAAATCTGCATTTCCTTAAGCGAAATGACCTGCCAAGCACTGCTCCTGCCTCTGTCCTATCCCACCCATGCCATGAGATTAGAGCACTGCAGCTCCCAGCTCTCCAACCAAGCTCCAAGCCAGCAGCAGGGGCCGAATTTGGTGTCAGTGCCCAGGGGCAGGGACAGCACTGCAAGCAGCCCTTGCACCACTCCGGTGACATTTCCAGGGCCCGAGCTGGGCTGGCATTGCTGCAGGACAGGCACCGGCACTCCCCCAGCCTCCACACAAACGCTTACACAGTACTTCTGTCTCACCAAAGGAGACCGGGAATTCCCGTTGTACTACACGTTAAAACAGGGATACTCTCTGCAATACACACACAAATTCCAGCCCATGGCATGCCATGCAAACACATCTTTCTCACCATAAAAAAAAGTCAATTAATTTTAATCTGAGAGCAACAGATTTTTCACCTTTCTTCTGCAGAGCAGGCAAAAAAAATTGCCCCTTCTGCCCCTGTCTCAGAACAGGACACTGAGGAAGCTGAATTTAACACCACATAAGATAAACAACAGCTGAGTTTGAGTACTATGTTCCATGCCTTCAGACAAACAAAAAAGCCCACCCCAACCAAAAGCCCCCACAAAATTCAAAATCACACCCACCCCAAAACAAGACACACAAACTGCAGAAAGAAGCGGAATACTGAGTAATAGCTTTCTTGTGAGATCTGGGTAAGCTGACATTAAAATCACTCAGGAGTTTGTAGTTCATTAGAAGTATTTGCAGTATGTAAGCCATTATCACTTACTTTCACTTCAAAGCCAGTTACTTTCAGGTATATTGTTGGTTTTTTTCCTCTGGTCCAGTTTTGCAATGTGGTAGGTGAAGAGCGAAGTAGCAATATGAACATAGAACAAGCTCTATGCATAGGTTACAGGCTTGCTTTTTGCAGTTTCCAGCAACATAATTTTTTTTCCCCTTTGCAAATATATGGGTAAATACTGTATCAAATATTTTGGGAATTTTCTATGGTAGCAAACAACATAGAAAAATCATCCGGACACTGGCTATGTGGACAAGAAAACATTGAATGACCAAGGGACAGTAAATTCTCTCAATTCTGCGCAAATTCCAATAAAAACCCACTAAAAATTCAGTTTTCTTGAGTTTAATTGGAGCTTTATTACTTAAGCTGTGACTTCACAGTCTTCACCTTCAGCAATTTGCAAAGAGGAGGCATACAACAAAGGTTACAATACTTAATGGAAGGGACTCCCTACTGAACAGGGGTAAAGAGGGCAATCCCAAGGCAGAAGAACTGGGAGCGCCAATTTGTTCTTAAGTCTCACATGAGGACTCCTGGAAAAAGCTGATTACTTGAAGCAAATCAAGGAAATAAATTTAGAAAGGAGAACTTGGGATTTAAGTAAGCTGGAACCAGAAAGAAACAAACACCAACGACAAAATGGGGACTACAGACCTGCCAGCCTTGTCTCTGTGCCTGGGAGGATGACGGAACAGATCCTCCTAGATGCTGCACTAAGGCACATGGAGGACACGGAGGCGACCGGTGACAGCCAGCACAGCTTCACCAAGGGCAAGTCCAGTCTGAGCAGCCTAGTGGCCTTCAGTGATGGAGTGACCACCAGTGGACAAGGGAAGGGCTACAAATGTCATTTACCTCCATTTCTGTAATTTTCTGCCTTTAACGCAGTTCCCCACAACATCCTTCTCTCTAAATTGGAGAGAGATGGATTCAATGGGTGGACTGTTTGATGGATAAGAAATTGGTTTGATGGTCATACAGGCTGGTGGTCAATGGCTCAGCGTCCCAATGGACACCAGTGACAAGTGGTGTCCCTCAGGGGTCCGTACTGGGAGAAGTGTTACTGTCATCTTCATTAATGACATGGATGAAAGGGTAGATAGCACCCTCAGCAAATTTGCAGGTGAGACAAAGCTGAGCAGTCCAGTTGACACACCTGAAGGACAGGACACCACCCAGAGTGACCTGCTCAAGCCTGAGAAGTGGGCCCATGTGAAACTCATGAGGCTTTAGTAAGGCCAAGTGCAAGGTGCTGCACCTGGGTTGGGGCAACCCCTGGTATCAATAAAGGCTGGGGGATGAACAGATCCAGAGCAGCCCTGCCACGAAGGATTTGGGGTTGGGTGAGAGGCTGGACATGAGCTGGCAATGTGCACTCACAGCCCAGAAGGCCAGATGTAATCTGGGCTGCATCCAAAGGGGCATGGGCAGCAGGGGAGGGAGGGGATTTTGACCCTCTACTATGGTGAGACCCCAGCCGGAACACTGCATCCACCTCTGGGGTCCCCAGCACAGGAAGGACATTGACCTTCTGGAGCAAGTCCAGAGGAGGCCCACCAAGATGATTAGAAGGATGAAGCACCTCTCCTTATGAGACAAGGCTAAGAAAACTGGGGTTGTTCCACCTGGAAAAAAGAAGGCTTTGGGGTGACCAAACTGTGGCGTTCCAGTACCTTAAAGGGAGCCCACAAGAAACATGGAGAGAGACTATTTACAAGGGCAAGCAGGGACAGCACAAAGGGGGATGGCTTCAAACTGAAAGAGGGCAGGTTAAGATTAGGTATTAGGATGAAATTCTGAGGGTGGTGAGGCACTAGAACAGGCTGCCCAGAGAAGCTGTAGGTGCTCCATCCCTGGATGTGTCCAAGACCAGGCCGGATGGAGCTCTGAGCAACCTGGTCTAGTGAAGGGTGTCCCTATCCATGGCAGGGAGGCTGGAACTAGATCTCTGAGGTCCCTTCCAACTCAAGCCATTCTATGACTCTATGAAAATGCAAACAAACCAAGCAGAGTAAATCCAGACAGAACCCAAACAGTAAACAGAGGCTGAATGAATAAATAAAGTCACTAGGATTAAACCAGATTTATGCTGCCACTCAGCTTCTTGAACAGCCACATAAAGCTGTAACTGACTGTGGCATGGTGGCTTCAGCCTCTGCTCCCTTGAAGCCACTATCCAACCAGGTAGAAAAATAAAGGTCTAATTCACTGGAAATTCTTTCATTTACAAAACTAATGGAATAGGGGATTTTTTTATGCTTCTGCTTCAACTTCTGATTTATCTTCAACTCCATTCTGCGCATCTTTCATTTCTGCATCTTCAGTGTGGCTTGTTTGAAGAGTAGCAGATGACTAAATAGAGAGACAAAGAAAATATATTAATATGTTATACAAAATTGCTAGCACAAACATTGTTTGATTCTTATTACTTGGAAAGCTTGTCTACCCTGCCAGACTGAATTGAGACATTAGGATCTTCAGCCAAGAGAAACCAAAAATTTTCATGCATCTAAGAAACCAGAAGCCATAGAGAGGAGGTCAAAATATAATACTGCTATTAAGTGGTTATGATTCTTGATGTGGCCTGCACCCACCTGCCACACAACTTCTCAGAAGTTTAACTGAAATTAATTTGTGAAGCTTCTGAAGGAACTGCTTTTGCCCTGCTTCACTATCAATGTCATTCATTTTCAGCCACTCCCACGGCCTATCCCGACCCAACTGTATGAGACACACTTGCACTCAGCTTAAGAAGTATCTTCACTGGACAACTAGTTTTATGGAGAGACACTTCAAACTCAACAACAATGATTTGGATGTCCTGTGCAAGAGTTTAACTGGAAGAAAATATGATCTGACAATGAGGCTGCTCTAAAGCCCTCTCCTTGTGCATCTTCCTCATAAAAAAGTGTGGGAGGCAGAGAGCCATGAGGTAGGGCTCCAAGGTCAGCTTTTACAATACGACATAACCAGCACATCCCGACCTTGCATTAATTTTCAAGCACAGTAAGGGGAGGTAAAAATGCCTTGGCTTGCTCATCTCAAAACCCAGTGCAATGAAATTGCTATTCTACCTGTCAGCCCAGCATCTTGAGCCATCTGTTTTATGATGATGTTAGGTAAGAACCAGACAAAACCAAGCAAAGTCTTCAGCATGCAATGCTGGGAGAGGGGAATAGGAGGGTTGGGAAAGGGGAAGAATCCTTAAAATCTAGAATATTCATGCATCAAAGGTAAATTTTTCATCCTTAGAAGCATTCCATAAAGCACACAAGAGTTAAGTCTTCTCTCCACAGAATATCTGTTAGCTAGCAATCCTGGGCTT